ATATATAGGAGATACTTTTTTTAAAAGAAAATCCTAAGCTCCTATACTTTAACATCAGGCGTTTGTCATTCACTAACCTCAAAACTCACCATTTCCACTAGTTAAAGTTAGTTGTTGCCTAATATTAACACCTAGGTTTTATAACTCAGTCTCAACCGTCGACGAATATGGAAGATCACCTTAATCGCGATCTAACTCTCTACAAGCAGCTAACTTATTTCTCATTCGGGGTTGTAATCAAGCTATGTTGAGCTTTCATATATGTGCTCACACCTATCACAAAATTATTTATGATCAAGTTTGGCTTAGGGCTTATAATTGACTTGTCTAAATTAGTTGAAGTAGTACTTAGATAAACTAATAAACTTACTAATAAATGGAAAAAAAATGTTGAATAAACTGTCTTATGGTTATCATTGCATGCTAGAAAGTTTATGACAAGAGAGGATTTTGAGCCTTAACCTTACGGGAAATTCTCATATGCAAATAGATATATGAAAACAATCATTTTAGATATTGAAGATTTTACATGAAAAACTTAAAAAAAATATCTTATGACACTGCCTTGTTAAAATAATACATTATGTATTTGAGGTTATTAAAATATGTTCTTTTTTTAATTGTGAAAAGTTGACTATAAAGTTGGAAACACTTGATTACCCTCTTTTGATTGTACTTATAGTGAAAAATGGTGACAATGATAGGGTGACATCCATAAAGTGATAGGTGTCACATGATGATAACTAAATAACAATAATTAGAAGTCAATAGTTGGATGACCGTGGTGGTTGATGTTGATGGAATTTGGTTGTCAAATAAAATTTAGAGTGTTTAGTTCTTCAGGTTAAGTCTAGATTCAAGCTTGTCTTTAATGTGAAAAATATAAATTTATTTATAAGTTTTATGGTATTTTAAATATTTTAATTATGTTTCAAAATAATCCATCACAAGAAAACCATCGCCATCTTATAGTTGTCCGCACAGCTGTGCAATGTGAATCACATTGGCTGAACCACAGCTAAACATTTGGCGCTGCGTACATCTCATGTACGCAAATATTTCTCGAAAATAGGAAGGTGAGAAATACGAAAATGGAGCGTAAACCTTTTATGATGATGGCTTCCGCTCCCGCATTGTTTGTTGGTTTGGTGGCGGCACTCTCAGTAACTGCAGTGATAGCTGAAGCGGCGAATCCACATCCACATCCGCATCCTGAGGAGCTTGAGCAGCAGCATCAACTTCTTTTGGGGCAGGAGGTCAACCCTAAACCTTAACTTCTCTTTTTCACAAAATCCGAATTCTAAACTGTTTGACTGCTGTGATTGCGTTGCAGGTGTTGGATTCTGGAAGGGCGAGGGGATGCTCCTATAGGGTTACGATTAAAACGAGCTGCCGTTCACCTCGGCTCACCAGGGACGCCGTTGCCCTGTCCTTTGGTGATGCTTACAACAATCAGGTCTGTAACACACTAATTTCAGTCAAGTTTTTTGTTTTTTCGGTTCTTATGCGATTACCAATGGTAATTTCATGGAGAAGAATAAATTTTGTTTATGTTTAACTGAAGGAAATAAGTAAGAAATTTTAGAAGATAATAAAAATATCGTGCTTGAAGCTACAATTTGTATCAAAGATGGCTAACTTAACTTCATTCTGTTTCATGCTTACATTGATTTTAATGGAATTCTTGTGTTTTGGGACTTTTTGGTTACAAGTAGGATTTAACTCAGTAACGATTTAATAAATCTGTAAATATATACTTAATAAAACTTGAGAGGAATAAACTTTGAAAATGGTTAAATCTAGCTAAATCTTGCTCGACTGGTTGGCTTTTATTTTAAGACTTAAGAACTGTGAGAGGAAGCAACTGTTAAATATATTCAATCAAACTTGTGAACGATGTGATTTAACAAATTGTGTATTTAATAACTAATGAGGCTAAATTGGGATTTATCAAAACAATAGGATTTAAAATCCCAAAAATTATATTTGGTACGATTTTAGCTAAATCTTCATTAAATCCTACCTTAAATACCACACTTCACCTTATGGGCATTCTATTAGACTTAACATGCATGCACTAAGTTTCCTTTCTATTTCTCCTCTTGAAATCAATGCCATGATGTTCAATAATCCTAATTATCATCGCAACGTCATGTCGGGAAATTGAAATAATCAATCCCTTTCTATTTTACCAGGTCTTAGATTCAATTCGAAATTAAATCAAACCACAAAATAATATCGCACATATTCGAGAAAACCGTAACAAAAAAATGAACTAAAGCACAACAAAGACAATCTAGAAAAACATAAGGATTTAACATGCAAAAACCCGAGAACGGAAAAAAAAAATAGAGCCACACCACCAAGAAATTTCGCTATGAATCCAAAAAAATTTTATAGAGAACACACTCAGATTTTCTCTCAAAAATCAAGGAAACATACTGGACCTCACTTCAATTCTTTCCTCTTGATCCGACAAGAGAAACACATGAAAAATTCTGATCTCTGACGCTTCTCTTCTTCACCAGGAACTTGTTGAAGAACTCAAGCACAGAAACTGCTACATTCTCCACTCAAATAAGCTCCTTACATTGAATCGTTGATCAGCCGCATCGGGTACATAAGCATCCAAAATTTTGTGCCTAAGCGCCAGCGGCTCGGGAAGAAAAATAGACTGGAACTCTCGAACCAGAGAGGTGGGCGCATAAGCGCCCACAGTTGGGCGCACTGGCGTCCATTTGGATGGGCGCCCAAAGCGCCAAGCGGTCTGCCTGGCAATCCCGATGTTGCCTACTGTTACTGTTGTTGCTTGTTGTTGTGGAGCTCCAAATCAGGCTCCACACCATAACAGTTTCCCACTTGAAGACTTTGCATCTCTATTTGTTTCATCTTCATAGTCACGTACCGTGGTGCAGCTCACCCTTAGTCTCAACTTCATGAAATTCAATTGAAGTCAAGCATATATTCAGTTTCTCAATTTTCACCACCTTTATCAACATATCCGCAAGATTCTGAGCTTTGCGTAACTTCTCCAAAAATAACTGTCCTTCTTCTACGAGAAACAAATAAAATGATACCTTAGTTGAATATGTTATGTCCTGACATTAAAAATAATATTATTTGTTAGATGAATTACACTCATACTGTTGGCGTGAAACTTTCCAATCTCATGCTCCTTGCCCAATTCTGCCATAAAATTCTATAGAAAAATCATCTTCTTGCTAGCCTTAGTGATAACAATATATTCGACCTCCGTAGTTGAAAGTGCAACGATCTTCTGTAACCTGAAAATTCAACTCGTCGTTGTGTTCCCCAATGTAAAGGTATATCCCATTGTACTTATCCAACTATCCACATTTTCTGCCAGATCTGAATCTATAAATTCCTGTAGACTGATCTCTGCACTTCCATAACAAAATATCTTGTTGACTGTTCTCCTCAAGTACCTAAGAATTCACTTTACCGCCTCCCAATAATGTCTGCTTGGATTGCACACCTGCTGATCACTCGCACTGCATATACAATATCTGGTATAGTACAAATCATCGCATACATCAAACTTTAAACTGCTGTAGCATACGAAGTTCTCTTCATTTGTGCTTGCTCTGCTTCAGGGTTAGGGGATAACTCCTAAGATAGTTTGAAGTGACTACATATAGAGAGTGCTAATTGCTTTTGTTTCGCTCATATTGAACCTATGTAAGATCTTCTCAACATACTCAGTCTGAGACAATTTCGGTATTCATGCACTCCTATTCTTGCTGATTCTCATCCTGAGGATCTTTCTGGTTAGACCTAAATCTTCATCTCAAACTCACTTGATAATTTTTTATTGAAGTCTTTGATTTCTTTATATCCGCCTCTCCAACCAGCATGTCATTCACACACAAAAGAAGCAAGATAAAATAATTACTGAAGTGTTTGATGAAGTGACATTGGTCTGTTTGAATCTTCATGTCTCCACTGTCTGACATGAACCTATCAAACCTCCTGTACCACTATCTTGGCGTATGCTTCAAGTCATATATGCTCTTCAATCTGCAAACCCAATCTTCTTTGTTTGAAACCTTGTTACCCTGTGGTTGGAGCATATACAATTCCTCTTCAAGATCTTCATGTAAGAAAACTGTTTTTACTTTCACCTGCTTTAGATGTAAATCTTCTTCTACTACCAGACTCAACACAACCATGACAGTTGTTATTTTCATCATTGGGGAAAAGATCTTTGTATAATCTACTCATTTCTTTGTTGGAAACCCTTCACGACAAGCCTTGCCTAGTAGTGCTTGCTACCATCTGACTCATCTTTCAGTCTGTAAGCCCACTTGTTGTGTAATGCTCTTTTGCCATTTGATAATACCGTTAAATCCTTAGTTTTATTTAACTCCAAAGACTGCATTTCTATATCCATGATAAGCTCTCACTCGCTTGAATCTTTAACTAAATGGCCTTTTCAAAGCACTCTAATTCACCATTATCGGTTAATAACAAATAGTATAACGAAGAAGAATACCCGTGTATGGGTCGTATCACTCTGCTGGATCTCCTGACTTCAGTAGCAGGTGACTGAGGAACTTCCAGTACTCCTTCTGGTTGAACACTACTTCTTTCTCCACCCTCCCGATCATTAATGTCTACTTTCTCAACATACTTAAACTCTTCAGCAGTTTCTGATGTCTTGTCATGCGCTCTGATCTTGTCCTTGGGGCTGTAAACGAGCCGAGCCTGAGCGAGCCGTGTTCGGCTCGAATAACTTTTTTATGTTCGTGTTCGGCTCGAAAATGACTCGTTAAAATATAAAATTATTTAATAAATATTATTTTTTAAAAAATAATAATAATTTTGTCTAAAAATTTTTCAAGGACAAATTTCACAAAAAAATTCAGAGATTTATTAACTTAAAAAAATGATGAATTCAAAAAATTTTACAAAATTGATTACAACATTTTATACAAGAATATTAATATTATTTGACAAAAACTTAAAAAATAAGAATCAATTTATTATAAATTTTAAAATGTACAAACTAAACAAGAGTACAAAAAATACAAATAAAAATCTAAATCTAAAAATAATTGTATTGAACATTTAATTCTTCTTATGCTTTACATACAACTCAAATTACTAAAACTAATTTCTGTAAACCTAGAGCTCACACCATTGGAGCAAGAATTGCAGTAGTTCTTTCCCGGCTGTTGTTCTTATGTTGATGCTTTCTCTCTGCCTTCTTGTTAGTGAAATTTAACATATCGCTGCTGAAACTTGAAGTATCAAGAGAAACTGTTAGTTTGACTCCATGAACTGGTGCTGCAGGCATAGCTAGAGTCTTCAGAGTTATCTTGTTTCAGATCTTGAATTTGAGCTCCTTGTGATTGGTAAATCAGCTGCATCTTTCCTCTAGTCCTCATCCGCAAGACAATAAATAAAAATTATAACATAAAAAATTGAGTTTATTTTTATCAGAATAAATGCAGAAAAAAAAATTTATATATTCTCAAATAACATTATTTGCAAATGGAAAGAAGCTAGCCCTGTTCAAATCAAGACTGATTTATACAGAGTATGAAGCAACTCAGAAAAATTGCTCATTGAGCTTGTTATTGGATGAAAGAAAATGAAAAAAAAAAATTAGGATGATTTGCACACATACCACTCGATTCCTATGTATTAAGTTAAAAAAAGTGGTATTTTTGATGTGATATGAAAGATTTGGGTGGTATAAATATTAAAGTTTAGGTGTTAGATATGTAAATATGAAAATTCCTTTTATGAACAAGCATAAATTTAAAATTTGAAGCTTTAAGAATAACAAAAATGAAAATGCATCGACTTCAACTT